TAGAGTATCTCTCAGTAAGTCCAGAGAATCAGCTCCTCTTCCAGCATAGGAGCAGGTTGCCTTTTCTTGGGTTGGTACCAGCCAAAATATTGAACTTCGGTTTCAGGACCATGCCGAATTAAACCTCAGCATTGCACAGTGAGGGACACATGGGAACTGAGAGCAGTGGAGAAAGTGGCATATTCATAGTTCCCATCATTTGTAATTCTTGTCTCAGATTCACTTGGGTCTTATGCTCATTTCAGCTTTCCATCCTTTAACAAATATTTATTGATCACTTACTGTATGTCTGATGCTATGTTAGACACTGGGTAACAGCAGGGAAAAAAAAAAAAGACCATTCTACTTTACATTCTAGTTGCGGAGCTAGAAGTAAGCCAAAAATCTCTCGGTTTGCTAGATAGGAGTGCTATCGGGGACAAAAAAGCAAGATGTGTGGGGTAGGAGGTTCTGAAGTGGCCAATTACAGTTTAAATGGAGTGGCTTGGGAAACTGAGTTTCATAAGCCCTGCAGGAGAATAAATGAATGCTATGGAATGGCCAGTGCAAAGGCTCTGAGGTCAGTGCTGCCTGTGTGTGTGTGTACAGTGAGGAACCCAGTAGAGCTAGTGGAGGGAAAGAGGAGAGCCATGGTGATGAGATCTGATGTTGTAGAGTGTTACAGGTCATCGAAAGATGTTGGGCTGACCTTGGCCTTTTGTCTAGGCAAGAGAGGAGTGTATTGGAGAATTTTGAGCAGAGGAGAGATGAGATGCTTACCAAGATCATTCTGGTTTCTGTGTTGAGAAAAGCCTGAAGGACGGACAAGGGAACTAGTTAGGGGACTGTTGCATTGGTCTTGGTGAGATAATAGTGCCTTGAACGAAGGTGGTAAAAACTAGTTTACTGTGGATATTTGAAGTTAGAACTACCATTGCATTTACTGTCAGATTGGATTGGGGTTGAACAAGGACATAAAGTAAGAGGGAACCTCTAAGGGCTTTATTCTTGAGTCTCTGGATAGACTTGCTATTAATTGAGTTGGGGGAACTTATGGGAGGAGGTGGGGGGACAGATTTGGACAGGTTAAGTTTGAAGTCCTACCAGACACCTGGGGGGAAATGTGGAGTGGGTAGTTAGATGTGTATGAATTTGGAACTCGAGGTAAAAGTTCTGGCTGGAGCTCTGTTTGGGAGCCATCAGTTTATAGTTATTTAAAACCATGCTGCAAGGCCGAGATCTCCCAGGGAATGGGTGTAGGTAGCTGGGCTTGCCGATGTTAAGAAGTGGGGAGATGAGAGGGAAGCAGCTGCAGAGACTGGGAAGGAGTGGCGGGAAGATAATTAGGGGAATATGGCATCCAGGATGTAGATGTTGAAGGTAGAGAGGTGTGCAGAGAGATGCTCGCACTGTTTGAGCACTGGCAGCTACATTTGAGAATGTGAAATACACAGGTTGCAATTCCAACTCGTGTTTGAAAATGCAACATTGCAGGGGCGCCTGGGTGGCTTAGTTGGTTAAGTGGGTAAGCTTCTGCCTCCAGCTCAGGTCATGATCCCCGGGGGCCTTGGATTGAGCCCTCAGCCCTGCATCAGGCTCCCTGCTCAGTGGGGAGTTTGCTTCTCCCTCTCTGCCCCTACCCTTTCGTGTGCATGCTCTCTCTTTCAAATAAATAAAATCTTAAAAAAAAAAAAGAAAGAAAAGGAAAGAAAAATGTACCATTCCAGCCACATGTGGGAGTCTAGTAATGGCTGTTGGAAGGAGACAGGCACAGCGTACGGTTCCTGTGCTCTGCTCTAAATGCAGCTTGAAGGGCTTCTCTGAGACTTGACATGGCCGTGGCCTGGCCCAGGGAGACTTGGGCATGCATCTAGGACTGTAAGTCAGTTTCCTCGTCTGTAAAATGGAGATCTGATAACCTCCACCCTAGAACATTCATGAGGATTCAAAGACAAACTGCCCCTGAAGTGTTCAGCCAGGCCCAGGAACTTAGAAATCTCTGTAAATGTTAATGATGCTGTGACTCACCAGGCCTCTGCTGTGGGTTCGAAATGCTGCAGTGCAGGTTCCTCACTGTGTCAGCCTCATGGGGATACTTCAAGCAGATCCACTCACCCCTTTCATACCCCCCAATGAGTCACACCACTCTTGTCATTCCAAGAAATCTTAATTTCTTTATTGTTTTTTTGACTCAACAATTTTTTTAAAACTTTTTTTTTCTGAAACGTTCTTGTTATGAGCCTTTTGTTTTGTTCTCGTTAAATGCACTCGACCCAAAATTGGTTTGGCATATCGAAAAGGAGACCAAGGAGGGATTGGGGGGGAGCGGCAGGGAAGGGATGGGAGAGGGGAGGAGGCCCGAATGGACACAGAGAAATCAAGGGTGAAAGAGGAACATAGAAACAGTGAGAAAGACACAGGGAAAGAGGTGGAGACAGAAAGGAAGGCAAGGGAAACAAAAAAAATACCCCCCCCCAAAAAGAGAAAAATACTAGATTTAAAAGGAAATGAATTCAGGAGCCCAAGGAAGGGAGTAGGAGAGGAAACCAAGACCCTTCCTTCTCTATACCGTCCCAGCTGGGGTGGGGTGTCAAGGCACCAGGTCTGGTTGGGGTGAGGGGACACCTGGGCTCTTGGGGGTGGCTTTGCACTAGGCTGCAGTGGTGTCCAACCCCACCAGGGGGCCCTGCCATGCAGCTCTGAGGCCTGGGAATCCACCTTGGTGATTTTGGCTGGAATGGGAACTTAGGGACCCACCCCACCCTCTCTCCCCTGATTGTCAGTGTCTGGAGAGAGAGGAGGGCTGGTCAGGGGCAAGGAAGCAGATTCTTTATTATACTTCCAGTCCCCCGGTGAACTCTCCCACCAAGCCTATTCTCCTAGCCCTCTTGCTGGTGTCAGAGGCAGCCTCTGGCTCTAGCTGGACTCATGCTGGGCCATCTCCATCATCCCTCCTCTCTTGCCAACTCTTCACAGACCTCTGGCTGCCCCTTCCTACAGTGGAGTTCCTGGCCTAGTGATGCCAAGGAAGGCCACAGAGCGGTCTGGCCAAGACTGTCCCTGTCCTTATTTCTCTTCCCCACCTAGACTTACCCATGGTATTGAGCTGAGAGGTTAAGCCTCCCTACCCGAAAAAGCTAGAGATGGAACCCAACCCTGCCTTCTCCCCACACCTGTCTCCCTACATGGGACAAACCACCATCTTTGGTCTGACCCCTTCTCCCCTAACTGATGGGGACAAGCCAGCCCCAGCTCCCCAGGAGAAGGGAGGGGCTTTCTAGCAGCAAAAAGGGTTCCTCCAGCCACCTACCTGTCCCTTTCCCCCAGTTCCTCCCTAGAGCCCCCCCCCCCTTAACCCAAAGTCGTTTATGGCAGCAGCAGGCTGAGACCCAAGATGTTTGAAAACTCATGGCACTTGTGAGAAAAGAGGGAGGGGCAAAAGAGACAAGAAGGGGTCAGAGTAGAGGTGGAGGGCCACCCCTGGGAGAATGGCAATGACAGGGCTGGGCTACTGTGGCAATGGGACTACCCTACTCTCAAGGAGTTGGGGGGCAGGGTGGGAAGGCCAGGGTGAGCGGCTAGAGAGGAGGGTGCTGGAAGAGGTACTCAGGAGACATCCCCAGCCCAAAGCTTCTGGAGTCTAAAGTCTGGGTAGAGTGCCTAGTACAAGGGTGTCCTGACTGCAGACCCTGGTACCTGGCTTTGCCTTCCCTGTAGGAGGGTGTAGGGTAGGGAAGATGATCTCTCCCCTTTGCGGCCCCCCTCCCTCCAAGAGAGAAGACAACTTCATCACCCCCAGCCTCCGTCACACCCACCACCTGCTGCCTTCACTTTTCTTCCCCCATCATCCGCTCTAGGTGGGAAATCAGTCCCTTCCTCCACACCCAGAGAGTCCCAGAAGCAATACACAAGAAGCAAGAACTCAAAGGGACAGCGCAGCCATCTTGGCAAAAGCATCTTTGGGTGTAAGGGTGCCTCCCCTGGGCCAGTGGTGAGGGGAGGGGGAGACAGGCCCCGGTCCTGGGGCAGGCAGTGAGGTACACGCCCCAGGAGGGCTGACTAATGCCAGGGAACGGGCGGAGCAGGGAAAGAGGCGACAGAAACGGTGCCGGGAAGGAAACAGGTTCTTTGTTTCGCTGTTGCTTCTAGATTTTGTTTTCTGTCTCTGGATTGTAAAAAGCTGCTCTGGCGGCCCGCCCACCCCGGCTGGGGATGCACACATACACGGAGAAGTCCTGGCTGCCAGGGCCCGGTGGCGCCACTCTGCTCCGGAGAAAGCCCCGGGCTGGCTGGGCCACAGGCTCCCGGTGGCTTCAAGTGATGAGATTTTCTTTTTTTTTTTTTTTTTTGTCTTTTTTTTTCTTTTCCATTTCGTTGAAATATTTACAGCAATGGGGAAGGAGGAGGAGGAGGAGAGGAAGGGGTAAGATGGCCCCCTAGGGAAAGATCCAAGCCCAGGACCCACTCCCCAGGGAGATCCAGACCCAAAATCTGCTCCCCAGATAGCCGAGCCCACAGGACTGGGAACTGCCCAAATATGGCCACCCCTGTGGGCTGGGGGCCCTGTGGGGAGTTGTGCTTCATCAGGAGTCACCCCAAGGTAGGGGGTCACTGGGTGCACTTGAGGAGGCTGATGGGCAGGCTTGCTGGGGAGGCAAGGACGAAGGGCAGAGGGAAGGAGCTTCAGAGAAAGTTCCACCTTTAAACCAGCAGCCACAACCACCCATTCCTCTTGCCCTGGAGCTTTCTCGGGAGAGGCCCGAGTCTCCAGGAGTAGGGAACTGTAGTGCAGGAGGAACCTGTCTGTTCCCACTGCTCCTTCCTGGTGCCGCTAGCAGCATTTCTGGCTGCAGAGAGAGGAGCAGCTGATAGGTTCCATTCAGTAGGGCCTTTGACCCAGGGAAACCAAAGCCCTCATTTTCCTCCAGAGGGTAGGAAGGTAGGGGTGAGGGGGAAGTAAAGAGTGGGCTGCACCCATCCAATTTCTCCTTCCTTACTCCCTTGGGGACCTCTTACTCTTACCTCTCCTTACTGCACTTCCCCCAAATCGAGCTGGTGCGCATGGCTGGTAGGAAACCCTGTCTGTGAACCCTGCACCACAGGCCCCCACGGCAGAGCTCCTGAGGGGCCTAGAGGGCCCACGGCTGAAGGGTACCTGGAGAGAGTGGCCCACCAGCCACTGCCTCCATGAGTCTCCCTCTCCCACTGGAGCCCCACCCAGGGTTCCCTCCCTGGCCTGGGCCACCAGCCCCTGGTCCATGAGGTCCCTCAGAGACTGGTGACCAGCTGCATCTGCCCATCCCCATCGGGCCCTGGCCCCTCAAGGCCCGGGGCCGCCAGGTAGCCCTCGTGGCTGGGCCGCCGCACCTGGTAGTAGCCCTGCAGGGGGTTCCGGGCCACGAGGGCCGGTGGGCGCGAGGTGTAGTAGATTTCCGGGGGGCCGGGGGGTGCAGGCGGGGGTGGGGGCAGGGCCTCACTGGGCCCCTCGGGGCTGCTGTCCGGATAGGAGGGCGAGTCCCGCAGGTTGGCCCCGCTGGCGTAGAGGGAGTCCCGGCCCGGAGGGGAGGATAGGGGCCGGCTGGTGGCCCCATCCTCCGCAGTGCAGCTCTCCGACTCATCCAGATCACTCTGGTACAGCACCGACTGGGCCCGGGGCAGCAGCAGTGGCTCCTCCAAGGCCTTGTAGAGAAGTTCGATCTCTGCCCGGTCAGCACCCCCGGGCCCGCCTGCTTCTTCCTCGCCACCACCCCCTGGCACAGGTGGCACGGGGGGTTCAGGTGGTGGGGGGCCCTTGGCCCCGCTGCTGCTACCCCGCAGGTTGTTGTGTACCAGCTCTGAGATGATCATCTTCTCGAAGGCAGCAGCATCGGCCAGGTTCCGGCCTCGGGGCGGCTCTGAGGCCCCGTCCCCTGGAGGGAAATCCCCACTCCGCAAGGAGTAACTGTTGTTGAAGTTGCCGTTGAGGGGCAGTGTGTCCATGCCGCAGGCTTCCCGGCCTCCCAGAGGGTGCTCTGCAGGCAAAGGGGACCCAGCTCAAGAGGAGTGTGGGCAGTGATGGGTGTAGGCACATGGGAAGGTGGGGGTGCCTGCTTCCCCGGGGGCTGGGATCTCCTGTTCCCATTCTTCCTCACTGGTAGTGAGGATAGCAGCCCGGAAGCAAGTTGGTGGAACGAGGGGGTGGGGTGGGGGTGGGGACCAGTTCCCTCTAGGTCTCCTCCCGCTGGAGGTTCAGAATCTCAATAGTGTGAAGAGGCCTCGTGATCAGCTGCATTTCCTGTGCTCTGACCATCATCACTTTCTTTGCTTATCTGAGGGCGAAATATAATCCCCTCTGGCTGTATGTGTGTGAGGTGTGTGTGGGGTCTGGGTGGGGATGGTGGGTCGGAGGGCACCCAAATGCTTCTCCCTGAGTGAGGCCATCCCTGGAGGCCACTACTGCATTCCCCTCCCGGCCTCAGAAACATTACCAGGCAAGTCACACTTACTGGGTTCCCGGTAGCTCCCTGTAGGTGCCGGCCAGGAGGGAAAAGAGAGAAGGTGAGAGTGTGCTTGGAAAGTCAAGCCCAGGCTCCAATTCAGGAAGCACTAGGATGCCCCAAGCAGAGTGTCTCGGGATGCGGACCCCATCACACTCCTTGACCAGGGCTGTCACCCTCTTCCTGTACCAGAGTGCTCTTACCTGGGGAATTGAAGACAGGAGGTGAAGAGGGATTGAAGCCCACCGACTCAGCGATGAGGGTGTTGTAGGGGCTGCTGCCCCCACGGGGCTGCAGCACAGGGTTGGTCAGCAGGTGGTTCCCCATGGTACCTGTCCGGAACATCAGAGGTCACAAGGTGGCCCGGAGACACTCGTCCAGGAATCTTGAGGGACAGAGCCAAGGGCAAGGGATGCCGTCTCACCTCGGTTCAAGGTGGGGGTGCTGTTGATGTCGCCTGCCATGAAGGAGGACTCCGTCTGTTTCCTCACCGTGTCATTCCACATCCTCCGGATTCGGCTCTGGGGACAGCCTGGCTGTGAGGACCCCACACCCAGACTGCCCACCCTCCAAGATCTTTCTGAGGCCACTTGCCTGCTGAGCACCACTAGGGACCTGGGCTGGGTGCTAACCTGCCTCTTGGGGTCTTGGGTCCAATACTCAGCCCCAGGGAGCCCTGCCCAGAGCCCTGGCCCCTGCCCAGATACCTGGGTTCCTGTGTAGTAGCGGGTGTTGCTCCGCATGGCTGAGGTCTTGAGTGAGCCGTGAGCGCCCCCGGGTGGGGAGCGGATGCAGCAGTAGGAGTGACGCAGGCACTTGCTGTACTCCTTGTGCACCTGGGGGAGGAGGGCATGCAGCTGGCAGTGGGTGCCTCTGCGAGCCTCAGAAACCTCGTTGTCTCCTGTCCCCCAGCAGCTAGCCAGGAAGGCAGGCACTCTCCCTGCTCAGGCCCATCCTCCTTTCTCTACATCCACTGAGTTTCTCATTCATTCACTCAACAGATCTTTAATGAGCATCTGCTATGTTCCCGGCATAGTTTAGGCCCCAGGGACGGTATAAAACCAATCATTCACACAGCCCTACCTCCAAGAGCTAGTATTTTGGTACATAGAGACATACGTAGATGCAAACAATAGCACCTCGTGTAAGACGTCTGATGCTGCTGGGTGCTGTGCAGACCAAAATGGCCAGGAAGGGAGTCAGGCAGTGCTGGTGGGTTGGGGGATGTGGATGGGGGGTTTTGAGTTCAAATAGACGAGGGGAATTCTCCTTGAAACATCCCAGCAAAGATATAAAGGAAATCGGGCAGCAGGCCTTGTAGGGAGGAATAAGAACAAACCCTGAAGAGGGTCCCGTCTAGCTCTTGTGTGTGGTTTTTTGTTGTTGTGGTGGTTCGTTTATTAAGATTTTATTTTTCAGAGAGAGAAAGAGTGTGCACAAGCAGGGAGAGCAGCAGGCAGAGAGAGAGGGAGCAGCAGGTCTCCTGCTGAGCAGGGAGCCCAATGTGGGACTTAATCCCAGGACCCTGGGATCATGACCTGAGCTGAAGGCAGGGGATTAACTGAGTGAGCCACCCAGGTGTGCCCTGTCTAGGTGTTGGAGAGAAAGCAGAGGAGACGATGCCTGGAGGGGAGGAAAGGAAGGTAAGCTTGGGCAGGAATGTGTGAGCCTGGGAGTTCCTGTAAGCATGTTGAAAAGGAAACTTTATCACTACAAAACATACAGTTTATCTCGTACCTGTTGAAGTAGAAACCTTCCGTCTGGGTGGTTTGTACCCCCACACTGTGGGTGGGTGAGTTGGTCCTGTTACCACAATCCTGCCATGTGCTCTCCCAACTCCCCAAATCCATCCTCATCTTTCGCTCCCCCAGGTTGCCATATCTTGCTCTGTTCTAGAACCCTCTTTACCCCTGCCTGAATCCTCACTGACCCCAAGCCTGTGCTCCCCTCACAGCAGACCCAGGTCCCACTGCAGAAGGCAGGCACTTGGACCCCTTCCCTGACCTCACCTTCTTCTGTAAGGCGCAGTGAAAGACAAAGATGAAGACCCCCTGGAAGGCGTTGAAAGTGGTAAAGAGATAGGCCATGACCACTGACTCCTTATTGATGAAGAGCAGGCCGAACGCCCAGGTGAGGCCCAGCAGGAAGAGCAGCGCGATGGCCCCCAGGGCCCAGGATCTGGGGGGGCGGGGAGGGGGATAGGGATGTCAAAGTCCTTGCCAGTGGAGAAACCTCCCCCTGCTGTCATGTGCCCTTCTTCAGGTGGGTCTGGATGCTATATGCAAAGACCCATCGGGGGTGAGTGGGCCTTTTGGTGGGGGGGGTGTGGGGGAAATTGTCTACATAGTAGTATTTTCACCCAGCCAGGGCCTGAGCTTGGGGTTTGGGGTTTTGCAAAGATCAGTCATTTGCCTTCAGCTTTAGGCCATATGTCCAGACCCTTAAACTATCTTTTCCTGCCCGTTTCTCTTTAAGTGGCTCTGAATTGGGACTTACTTTTCAACTTGGCCTCACCCTAAGAAGTATGTCCTCAAAAGCACAGATCGGATACGTTAATACCGTGTCTTCTAATACTTGTTAAGTAGATACACAACAAGCAGAATAAAACACCACGTTTGTCCTTAAAGTCATATCTTGTGATACTGGAGGTGAGCACATCACATTTTAGGAAGCCCTGGGAGAGACCAAGCCTGGTAGGGAGCTATCAGGGGCAGGAGTGAAGGGAAGGGGTGCTCACTTAATGTTGTCCAGGCGACTGGAATCAGGCTTGAGCACAGACGAGCTCCGGACCATCTTGTGCAGGGTCACCATGAGGAACACCAGGTTCACCTGGGGGTGGGGCAGGAGCGGGGCTAGGCTGGGGGGGTCCCTTGGGGTCCCTCCACCTCCCAGTGTGAACTCCTGCCCCAGTCTCAGCCTCAACGCCCCCTTCTTCTGGGCCTCCTCTGCTGATGTACCTGACCTCAGGTGCCTGCGGACTGGTAACAACTGTCTGTTAATGTGGCTCCTGGTGGTGGGAGGACAGGGCTCACAGCCTGACACAAGGCAGGGGCTCAAATCACAGTTCCTGGATGGATGGGCTTTGGTATCGGAGCTTTACAGACCCGCTCTGTTCTTGTCCTCTTAGTTGGCTGCTCAGTTTCGACGGTTTTCAAACCAGCCCTCTCAGGGCTTGGGGAGAGTGGGGGCGGGGCTCAAGGATCAAGGCTAGCTTGTGTGAAGGAGGGAGACATAGTACTGTGGGTACCACCTTCCCACTTACCACAATAACAAAAGAGACAGGTCCAATGAAGCTCCAGATGAAGTAATTGTCCACTCGGAGCCAGCAGCTATAAAGGAAGTGGGACTGGGGTAGACAGAGGTGGGAAAGCCCTTCCCTCCCATCTTAGCCCCCAGGGGCTCTGTAGACCGGCCTTAGATCTCAGGAGCAGGAAGGCTGCTGCCCTGAAGGTCCTGGCCCAGGGGATTCTGCTGAGCAGGGAGCCAGGCAGGGAGACCCCGGGGGGATGGTTGGGCGGGGGGGGGGGGGGGGGGGGGCCCCGCGGGGTGGGGGGGGGGGGGGGGGGGGGGGGTACGGGACACTCACGCCTTCTCGGTGCCATAGCTGCGGTAGTCGATGGCCGCCGCGATGCCTACTACCAGGGCCGGGAAGCAGTAGCCACCTAGGTAGTAGTACTTGGTGCGGGAGTACTCGCTCTCAAACACTTCCACCAGCAGCAGGTAGAGGTGCACGCCCTCCAGGCACAGCCAGGAGAAGGCGGCCAGGAAAAAGTAGTGCAGCAAGCCGGCGAAGATGGGGCATGCGATCTGGGGGCGGCAGGGAGGGGCACCACAGGTGACGGGCTACCCGGGCCAGCACTGCCTCTCTTCCCACCTGCCTCTGCCCCTAAACCCTGGCCCACCTCATACTGAGTCTTGTCTATCCCGACCAGGAAGAGCAGCTCGGCCAGAAAGAGGTTGATGCACAGGTTCTTGTGGATGGTGTTGCGGTCGGTCTGCAGCCCCCGCAAGAAGCAGAAGGTAGAGATACAGATGGCCAGGCAGACGAGGGAGATCACGATGCCCACCCAGGTGATGACCGACAGCAGCAGCTCGTTGATGCGGCCTTGGTACTGGGGATAGGACCAGGGGGCTTGCTCAGCACCTCTGGCCTTGCACTGGCCAGGCTCACCCTGGGCTCAGCCAGGTGCTGGTGGTGCGCAAGGTTGCAGGCCATGAGTACCACCAGCGCTGCCCATCTGGCCTTCTGCCCCCTGGCCAACTTGCTGGCCCCCACCCTTCTGTAGGTGGCACGCTCACTTCCTCATGCTCTGGGAGGCTTGTGGAGAGATGACAAAAGTGACACCAACTTGCTTCTCCAGAGTGCCTTGGGAGAAGGTGGGACCATGACCAGAAAGAACCAGACATGTGGCCTCCTGCCCCGGGCAAGACTGGTGCCACCCCCCAATGCCCATGAAGCTGGTCTTCCCTGGCACTGCCCATGCAGCGCTCTCTAGGATGCCATGCAAAGCCAGGCCAGCAAGTGGGCCTGCCCAGAGGAGTGGAGCGCCGGCCAGCTTACGATCTCGCGGTGAGCCATTAGCACGGCAAAGTTGGTGAGGTGGCTGCAGGCACACGTGGTATGGGTCTTGTTGGACTCCACCAGGCGGCAGCCCTGGGTTGACCAGTAGCCCAGCATGGAACGCTCCGAGTAGTTCCAGAAGGAGCAGTTAGCATTGAAGTGGTTCTTGGCCTGTTGTGTGGTGGTGGCCGGGCAGTCAGATCCAGGGAGTCCCGTTCCAGCCCCCACACCCAGCTATGGGGATGGTGACAAGCATGAGAAAAGTGCCTGGGGCTCCAGGTGACAGTGTGGGATCTCTGGGGGCAAATGGCCCAAGCTGTTGAGGTGGGGGTTGGACTGGTGCCCCAGGGAGGGGTTGTAACTTGCTCTTGGGGTAGGTGAATGCACAGTGGGGAGAATATACAGCCTGGGGACACGGAAGATGGCGGGACCCCCAGGGGGGGTGGGGACGCCTCAGCTCACCTCCAGGTGGGCCACGGTGAAGATGACAGGGTCCATGAGAAAGACACGACTGGACTCCTTGTTGATGGACGCCGCAATGACCTGCGAGTTCACCACGAGCGAGGCGCCGCCGGGGCCACCCGTACCTGCTTCCCCCGCCAGCTTCACTGTGGCATTCTCGGTGGACAAGAAGAGTCCCAGGTTGTTGTAGAGGATGAAGACCACTTTGACCACACCTGCAGAGGAGAGGCACAGCGGGGTGTGCTATTAGTCCTGAGCCAGAATACCTTCAGCCATACCGGCCACGGGGACCTCTGAAGCCAGGCTGTGGCCCAGGTAACAGGGGCTTCGGGAGCCCTTCCATGTACCATTGCTCAGTTGTAGGCAGCTCCAAATGGCAAGGCAGTATAGTATGCCAGGACACATAGGGACTGCGTCCCCAGCCCCCACCTCACTTGCTGTGTGACCTCGGGCAAATCCCCAACTTCTCTGAGCCTTAGTCTCAAATGGGACAGACCTCCCTGAGCTATGAGGACCGACTGCCATTACACAGGAGTAAGCCCTGCAAACTACAAAGTGTCCTATGCTCTGGGGCTTTGGGGGGACCCCACAAATCCCCTGAAACGTTATGCTTGCTTGAATGGAGAACAACTCTGTGTGTCGTTATGAGCCCCACCCTTTCCTTGGATTCTTCAACCCAATACAATTTAAGACCTGATGTTCTTCCTAAGTGTACCGGGGACGCCGGCCCAGGGCTTGGGCACTGACCGTTGCGGCTGTTCTGCTTGATGGTGTTGGCGGACAGCTGGATGGAGTTCTCACTTGGGTATTCCTGGGGGAACACCAGCTCCTGCACTTGGCCCTCCGTGTTTAGGACTGTCACCTCCAGGACTGTAGGGACAGGGCATGGCAGGGCAGGTGGGTTAGGGTCCGTCTCCAGTCCAAGGGCCCAGCTGTAGCAAGAGGCCTGAGGCTAGGGCATCCCTAGCTGGCAGGCCCCATGGTTGAAGATTTGCATCCAATCATGATCTCAGGGTTGGCAGACTGAGCCCCGCATCAGGCTCCATGCTCAACAGAGTCTGCTTGAGATTCTCTCCCTATCCCCCAACTCACGCCCATGCTCGCTCACTCGCTCGCTCTTGCAAATAAAATCTTGAGAAAAGAAAGGTGTGCACCTGATCCTTCCCTGGGCGTGACTGCGGCACTCACCCACATTCTGTTTGGCAGCCAGGAAGCGGGCGGGCTCCCGGACATTGTCGGCCAGCAGGAAGGCGCCCTCCTCCAGCACATCCAAGAGCATGGTGGCGGTGTGCACCTGCTCTGTGGCATTCATGTCCTTCCAGGACTCCAGAGCCTCTGGCCGCAGCAGGTTGTCCACTGTCTCCACCACAGCCTATGCAGATGAGGGGACGGCACTGTGATTCCCCCCACATCCTCCAGTTCCCTGGGCTGGACTCTGACTCTGCATACCCTCCTCTCAGCCTCCATCCCGTGTTGCGTGGAGCATGCCCACATGATGATGAGGGCTGCCTCACCCCCTCTTGGCCGGCAGGAACCCTCCGGGCCTCACCTTGATGTAGTCTTTGCATGTTCTCTCCCGCTTGTGCATCTGGGAAAAGAGATGGAGGCGCTGTCAGCTTCTCTAATGCCAACACTGTCACATCTGGGCCCTGGAGAGCTGGGTCTTCTGCAGGGCTGGGCACGAGTGAGACCTGTTCCTAAGGGACCCTCAACCCTAAGGACCTTCCGAGGGCAGCTTAGGAGGAAGATCCAGTATGCCTAGGATCAGTCCTCTCCTCTCTGACCGCCCAGCTTGGAGGTAACAGGCTGGACTCCTCTTGAGCCCTCAGGGCAGTACCCGCCCCCACCACCCCTGGCCCCACTGCTGTGCCCCACCTTGTTGTAGTTCTTGCCCGCTGACTCCCGCTCAATGGGCCGCAAGGCCTGTAACTGGGCATCCAGAATGTCCAGCAGCTGCTCCATCAGCTTCACGGAGGAGGACACGTCACCCGCATAGATGGAGCCTCGGGTGTGACGGGCCAGCTCGCTGGCAATGTTGGCTGCGTTCTCCCCGCTCTTGATCTGTGTGAGGTGGGAGTAGGGACCCCCAGCTATCTCAGAGACCATCTTGCTTCCCACATGTTCCCTTTTCACCTGCCCAGCCTGCTTGGCCCCTTTCCTCCCTCCCTCTCTGACCCCTTCTCCCTCCCCAACCGTCTCTGTTCCCTCTGTAGGCCAGGGAGGGGACCCACACAGTCCTGGCTCCTGGACCTGCCCGTTTGTCTCCCCAATTGCTCTACTGCCCCCAGTGCGCCTTGTGCCCGGCCACCCAGGGCCCAGTGTGCAAGCCAATGTGCCCATCTGGGAGGGACAGCTGCTGCTGGTACCTTCTGGGCCACCTGGTTGACCCAGGGGGAGGTGCAGTTGCTGAGGTCAGGGCCCCGGGGGTTCCAGAGCCCCAGGGCTGGTAGACACTGGAAGGAGGCAATTCCTGCAGGGACAGACAGGAACAGAGAAGGGAGCCACAGGGAAGGAGAGAAAGAGGGGCCACAGCGGGGAAAGGAGATGACAGGGGGACAGATAGGTGAAGAGAGGTGAAGGAACACGGAAGACCAGACATGAAGAGGGCCGGACAGTCAAGAGAGGCATCACTGTGAGGTGACATAAGCTACCCCTCACTTCTAAGCTCCCCCTCTTGGCTCCTCTTCCTTCCATCTTTGTCTCCCAGAAACGAAACTTTCTAGCAAAGTCCATCTTCAAAGCCCCTTCTCCCTTAAGCGTCTTCAGACCCTCCCTTTGGATGGCTCCACCTGGGAGCACGTGCTCCTGGCCCCACCCCGCCTGTCACTTCAGCAGCTCTCTGGGCTGCCACTGGCTGCTCTGGGGCCCGGTCTGTCTCAGCGTGAAGCCGGGGGCTCAAGTCACCTCCTGTGGGCTCCCTTCATGGTCTGCCTGGCACTGCAAGAGGGGATAAGGCAGGGGGACTCACTGAGCTGCTCCCAGGCCCCAAGAGCTCTGCTGGGCTCTGGGAACACAGCTGCAGGTGTCAGGTGCAAGCCCTGTCCTCATAAAGCCCGCACTCTGGCAGGGGAAACAGACAGGTGCGTAGGCTGAGTGGTGGGATGTTCCCTGGCCCTTCCCTGGCCAGACTGGGTTTGGCCCCTCCCCAAGTCAGCTACAGCGAGGGGACTAGAGCCTCTGTACTCACCTCGGGTCCCCTTGGGGCAGGGCCTCTCGACCAGCATGCCCTGCTGGGTGGCCGGCCACTGGACCCGCCGCACCTCTCGAGGTTCACAGAAGAGCTCTGGGGACACGTGCAGATTGGGGGCAGGGGGCCGCCGGGTGCTGGGAGCCAGGGCTGTGGCTGGAGGCAGGTCAGGTCCCAGCTGGTTGATGGCGCCCACCGGGTGTGTGGTGAGGGGCACTCGGCGGAGCGGGGTGGTGGCCGCAGGAGAGGCCGTGCTGGTGAGGGGTGTGGGTCGGGCTGTGGTGGTTGTGCTGAGAGGCGGGGAAGTGGCTGGGCCTGGAAGGGAAAAGGATATACAAAACAGGGTCACCCCATGCCCAGGGCCCTGCCATGGCATGCCCAGGAATGCTAGTACCTTCCCCGAAGAGGGAGGATATCCTGGTCACCACTGGGTCTGGGAGATCTCCCCTGGCCTCTCTCTGTCCCCAAGACCATCTAAAGCATCAGAAAGCAGTAAAAATTCACTTGAGTGTAGCCTGAGGTCTGAGAGCAACCAAAGAGAACCTGCCAGGGATGGGATGTGTGAACACAGCCTCCGCCCATTCTCATTCTGCTCTCATTATGGTCACTATAACCTGGCCGGGTCCCTTCCCTGTGCGGGCTTTAGTTCCCCATTATGCAAATAAGAGTGGCCTGGCTCAGGCTCTCCAGTGTCCTGGGGCTGCTCAGAGAGGGCAGCGGGGCTGAGGGTGGCTGAGAGAGGCTGCAGCAGGACCCTCACCCTCAGTGCTGGCAGCTGGGCTTTGTTCTGTGTCACTGATGGGAGGCTTCCACCCAGGGTTGTGGCTGATGAAGGTTCTAGGATTAGGAGTGCACATGCCCCTGAGGGAGGCGGTGCAACTTAGTGGTTAGGAAGCAGACTCCAGAGTTACTCCTCAAAGAAGTAAACTAACCCCCTGCCCAGTGCCTCACTTTACCTCACGAACCGGGACAACTGAACGAGTTAACTGTGAACCGCTTAGACCAGCCTCTGTCCGGTGCTGTGCGACTCTGCCCTCCAGGAATCCCGGGGGCCACCTCCAGGTCCCAGCTCTCAGCACACGGCATGCTCCCCCCACCCTGGGGCCCAGGAGGCAGAGTAAGGGGAAGCCGTCCCTACCGGCACTGGGGTCTGGCGGCCCGAACTCCAGGCTGTAGCGCACCACGAAATAGTTGTTCCAGACGTACAGCTGGTTGTCGCGAGGGTTGTAGTCCACGGAGGAAACGAACTGGTAGGGGTTGGGAAAGGCCAGGCTGACCGGCTCCTCGCGGTTGGCGTTGGTGTTGAAGGCGTAGTCCACGCGGTTGCCGGCCGCCTCGCTGTCGTCATCCACGTACACGGAGCGCAGCACGTACAGGACTCCGCACACCATGAAGGCGTTGGACGCCGAGCGCTTGTCGTAGCCCGTCTCCCACGTGCCCTCGAAGCGCAGCGTGTAGGGGTTGAGCTGGCTCACCACCAGGCGCCCGTTGTTGCCCTCAGTGGCGTAGATGACCCACAGCCCGTTCTCGTCCACAGCCAGGTCGATGTCCGTCTTGCCCCCCCAGCGGTAGGGCGACGTGTCGTGGTAGTTGGCCGTGTTGATGACAGTCTCCCCGCTCTTGATGCGCGTGCGCAGATCGTACTTGACAATGTTGCGCGTGCGCTCCTTGTTGTAGAAGACCGCGCCGTCGTAGACCACAAAGCCCGTGCCGTCCACGCGGTTGGGCAGACGGTAGGTGGTGGTGTGGCGCGAGGCCACGTAGTCCTCCCACGAGGCGTACTCCGTTAGCGTGTCCGTGCGGTAGGGGATCCAGGGCATGACGTAGATACGGTCTCCCGCCTGCAGCGGGTCCTTGCACCACGCGCCAGACTGGTGTTCCGACTCGTGCGTGGACGTGGGCTCCAACACCTTCTGTAGGGTCCCTGGGCACACGAAGACTGGGCCAGGCGGGTGGGCGGGCAGGCGGGGAGGGCACGGGGAGAGGAGGAGCGGAGGGGGGAGAGAAAGAGGCAAGTTGGTCACGTGGCCTGGGGTAGCCAGGCTGTCCCCTCCTGCTGCTGCAGTCACGGTTGCTTGGTAGGGCTGGTGATGGGAAGGGGGTTTCCGGGCTGGGACCCCTGCCCTGCCCAGCTGCCCCTCTCCCTGGAGATGTCAACCCTGGAGGCCATTAAGAGCAGGGTTAGTGGGGGGTGGGGGAGAGGTGGTGCCCCTCTTTCCTTCCCTGGCTGCTGGAGACCCCACAGGCTGGGGATAAAGGGTTTGGCAAGAGCCTCCCAGACTTCCTCATGTGTCTTAAGTGGGGGCGGAAAGATCCCCTCCCTGCTGCCACTCCTGGCTTTGAGGTTCCAGGGACTCAGTGCCCTGCTCCTTTGCCATCGTCACAGCCCCCTATGTAAGAGCTAGGGTCGAGGGTCCCATCCTTCACCAACCACACCAGGATACAAGATTTTGTTTTCTCCCTCTCTCCCCCACCCCCTGGCAAAAATTGTAAGGTAGAGTGATGTTTCCGTACCCACTGTGGGTGTCAGGAGTGCCCCCCATTCCAGGGTAGAGGAGCACCCAAAGTTCCTGATGCAGCCTGTGTCCCCCCGCCACCCAGTACCCACGTAATCAGTAGGTGAGGAAGGGTTTTTGGAAAAGTCCAGCCCCTCCCACAGGGTGCCCAGCCCTGCCCCCAGCCGGCAAGGTCTCTCATGGGGCCTGTTCAGCAGCAGACTCTGACACTGGTGCACAGGGGAGGGGGGGTTGGGGACATGGGAAAGGAGGGGGCTCCCCGGGAGAGTTGGGGAGGGGGGAGGAGAGCTGTGTGGAGGGAAGAGAGACAAGGTGGGGGGGCCTCGGCGAGGTCCTGGCTCCAAGGGAGGCACGCTGAAGACCACCTGGGAAGAAAGGGTTAGTGCTGGCGAGGAGAGAGGGGTGAGCAGAGAATTCACTCCAAGGCCCAGGCCCGACTGAGGGTCCCTCGGGGGGGGCAGTCCCAGGTCCAGCTCAGAGGGGGCAAGGGAGGGAACCAGGAGCTAGGATAAAGACCCAGCCCGCCCCAGCCAGGCCCCCCCCACCCTCCCCTGCCCCCGACCCCGATTTACCTGCAACCATCCCCGGCTCGGGAGGAGGGACCAAGGCAGCGCTGATGTCAGAAAGGTGGGGGGCCCCGCCCCACCCCCCCATTCCCTGAAAAGGAGGAAAACCTCAACTGCATCTCGTTGGCCGCCGCCGGCCTGCCCACCCTTGCCCCGTCACATCCCAGTTCCACCTGCTCTTAGCCTCCCCTTACTGACCCAGTAGGGGTCTGGACTTGGGAGTGGTGATGTCCAGATACCCCTCCATCCAGGATGGCTGGGCCTCCCTCTCACCACCCTGATGGCTAAACCCACAGACAGGCCAGGGTGAGGGTTTGCAGTGAATTCTCTGCTCCTGCTTGGCCTGTCACCAAAGCAGCTGGCCCTAAACGGAACAGGGAGGGCTGGGACCCAGTGCGGGGTTGGGGGGGGGGGCAGCCCAGTGGCAAGAGGGTTATGGACAGGCACCACTCCTCATTCCCCCACTTCAGCCTCACTCTGTGATAGGCTTAGGTGGGGGGATATCTAGCCCTCCCTTCACAGCATCAGGGACAGCTAGGCCCCAGGGGTCCCAGATGCAAAGCAGCCAGGAGCACACCCTGTTTTAGGAGGGGGAGGGGAGCCTAGGACCCAGAAGTGAGCAGGAACCAGAGGGATCCTGGCTTGCATCCTGAGGCTCCATCATCTCCTTGTCCCCAATACCCTGAGGGGTTGGCCTGCACCCTGTGTCCAGCACACCTGGCCTCCACCTTCTTCCTCTGTGCCCAGGTCTCCCCTCTCCCCAAGCCAGGACCCCTGCCAGCTCTGTGGCCCCTGAGCAGACATGTCTGTGTGTGTGAGGGGGCAGTGGGAGGAGGTCTCAAAGCCTGACCTGGTCAGAGGGTTTGGAGAAGGAAAACATGGTTAGAGGTTACCCTGGGGATGGGGGAGAAGATGAGGAAGGGTCTGCCTGGGGCCTTTGACAGTAAGGACCCCTCCCCAGCACCAAGCTCCCAACACCTCCTCTTCCCTCCCCCCTCCCCACCCCACCCCACCCTTGAAGAGAAAAGATCCAGGGCTGCTGTATCAACCACCACCGGTATCCAAACCACCACCGGGCCTGTAAGAAGAGTGTCTGGTGCTGAGTGCAAGAGAGACTCAGGGAGAGAGAGAGGGAGAGAGTGGCAGGGCAGTGAGGGTTGGGGGCCTGGGCTGCCAGCCCAGGCCTCTCTGAGATGGGGGAGGGCAGGGGGAGGGGAGCAGCTTGGAGGGACCCCGCCCCACCTTCCTCAAAGGGGATGATCCACAGGCCACCGTAATTTCAAGGCAAGAGCGATCCTGCAAGGATGGCTCACCACAGGCCGTCCCCACAACCAGCCTCACAGCTGTCAATTTCCCGAAAAGAAAATTTCCAGGGAAGATGGGCCCATCCCCAATATCCCACCCTCCAAGTTCCTCTGCTGCAAGCCCTCCCCTCTCCAGATGTAGGGGAGCGCTCCACCCATCATGGAGTTTTCCTGTTCCTCTGCTGAAGGCTAACCCCACAAGAAATTACGGTGCTCGTGGAAGTCCCCAGACCCGGCCTATACCTCCCCCAACCCCCCCCCCCCCCCCCCCCCCCATCCCCTAACCAAAACAGCCCGGAAGAAACCCTGACTGCAGCTTCGCAAGTGTTTCAGAACCAAAGAAAATGTTCCCCCACCCAGCGCTCCCCCCACCATGAGGCCCACCCCCGCCCCTTTGCCCCAATTTGGCAGACTCTGCCCTCTCAGGGCTGGGCGCGGCTTTACATCCCTCCCCAGGGCTGGGCCCCCCGGCCGGTCAAGGATGGGGTTTGGGGGTGGGGGGGAAACGGGTGCTCCGTGCTCCAAAACAGCTCTGGGCCTTGGAAACGCCAAACCAGAAGGAACTTATGCCACCAGAAGCCCGAGAGATAGAAGGAATCTGCTCCCCAAAAGGAAAACATCCCACCTCCCCTGAGCCAGACACATGGTACAAAAGTTGGGGCAGGAAGAAGAGAAAGAAGACCGCTCACCCCCGCGTCCTCTGCCCCCAGTCAGGAGCCAGAGAAGGGGGTCCCTCCCTCCCTCCCTGGATGCTTACACACTTCTCCTGAAGGAGGCAAAATAAGTATGAGAGAAGGCCAGGTCCCCCCGCAAGGGCTGGGACTAGGAAGGAGGGGCAGGGAGACAGAAAGAGAGAAAGAGGCAGAGAGAAAGAGAGAGACAGAAGGTCCCGCCCGTGCTCAGAGAGGAGCTTCCTCGGGCGTCTGGCAGGTGGAGTCGCCCGTGGGGGCACCAGGGCTGGCCCCACCGGGAGGACACCCGGGGTGGGGGACACCAACTGGACCCAGTTGGGGTGGGGAGAAAAAGGGGCCGGGCAGGGAGGGCGGGGCACATGAGTACGGTACAGGCGAGAACAAAGTGTGAGTTAGGGGTTAGCATTGGTAACAGTGCGTTTACCTTTCTGCTCCACTTCTACTTTAAGCATCGGAAGAGAGAGAGAAAACAAATTGAAAAAAAAAATGTGCAAGAAAAAAAAGAGAAAAAAAAAGATTAAATTGCTTTCGTTTCTTATCTGGCAACATGCCCCCTTTTCCTTCCTTTCCTCATCCTGGTTCCCCAACCCCGAAGGCAGCATCAGCTCAGCCCCCGCCCCCAAGTCCCTTTCTCTGGGGGGGGGTGTCGGGGAGACAGTCACAGGGAGAGGGAGACACGCGAGGACAGAGACCAAGAGAGACACAGGGGAGGGGGTACAAACAGGCAGGTGGACGGGCCCTCAGACAGGTAGGGGCACCCTCAGTGTGGTGGGGGTTGGGGAGGGGGGAGCTTCAGCTGGAAGGTGGGCTCTGGTTGGGGAGCACTGGGGAGGGAGTGGTGGGGGGGAAAGGGCCACCCAGTTCCCTCCCCCTCGCCCAACCCACCTGCTGCCCTCCTGCCGGAAGCAGGGGCCCAGGGGGAGGGGGTTCAGTGCCTCCAGGGGCCTGGACACCCCCAGCTGGGAGAACATGCTGACCCCCCCCACTTTCTGTGCTGGCCTTGCTAGAGTCCAGCTGAGCTCCCCCCAAGCCCTCACAACCCAAGAAAAGCCAACACAGAGAGAGAGGGAGGCAGAGCAGGCAGAGCCCCTGGGCCTCAGAGAGCCGGGTGGGGGAGACAGAGGCAGAGAAGGAAGAAGCGGGGGTGGGGGGGCGGACGTCACAGACAGCACGTGGGGGCACAGACACGCTCCCACGCTCCCCCGGGGCCAGCCTGTGGCTCAGTTTGTCTGCCCAGCACCCACCCCCCGACCCGGGGGCCCAGGAGCCAGGAGCTCCCTGCCCGCTGCCCAGTGGGTGGGCGCACCTGAGGGAGGAAGGGGCACGGTTAGAATGTGCTCAGCTGCAAGGCAAATCCAGCGTTAGTCGGGCCTGTCTGGGGTGTGTCTGTGTGTGGGGTGGGGGAGTCCCACGCACCCACTGCCCCTCCCCGTGGTGGGCCCCTGCACCCACCCTTGACTCGCCTGCACCAGCACTGGGGTCACCCCAGCCTCTGAAGCCCAGGGCCAGATGGCTGCCCAGGCTGCTCCCCCTTCAGGCTCTGTGTCCCTGGCCCCTCAGGAACCTCTGACCAGGGCCTCGCTCTCCTGCCACTGCTCTAGAGGCACAAGCAGGGGTTCTATAGGGGAGAGTGTGGCTTCCTTCCCAGCGCCTCAGCCAGGGCCTGGCACGCAGGAAGTGCTCAGCAAACACGAACAGCGGGGAACGAGTGAGTGCCCCGCCTCCCTGTTCTCTGGCCTGGCTTCTGTCACCCTTGGAACTCCTTCTTCTGGAACCAGGAGCTACACCCCCTCAGCCCTGGGTTCTGCCTGTTGAGGGCACACGTGGCCCCACGGTGTCCCAGACACATTCACTGTGTGTCCTGCCTCCCCCGGAGCTCAGGCTCGCTCTCTCTAAGACAGACCGGGGCTGCCCATCCCCTGGGCCATCCTGGTCTCCATGGGTCACGGCCCCCCGCCCACACTCGGGGGGGGGGTCAGCTTCAGGAGGTCCTATGCCTCTTTCCTCCCTGTGCCCTCTAACTTGTTTCTTGCTTCTTTACCCACATGATGCCAACTTGCTTTGGACTCCACTTGGACCAAGGGATGTTTTTCCCGCCCTTTATCTCACTTGCCTCTGGAGGGTTTGTGATCATCATCCGTCATTCGTTTTGTTTTTCATTTCCCAGCAATAATTGGTAAAAATCACTACGAATAGTCACAACAAAAGCGATGACTACCAAGTGCCTCCTGCTTCCTAAGTGATCAAGTGCTAGGTACTTCCCAGGCAGTCTTTCCAGAACCCTGTCTACACACGGGGAAAGAGGCTCAGCGCAGTGAACCCACACAACGGAGGTCATACAGTGAGCAAAAGTGGGCACCATTTCCTTCATATATATTTATGGCACAGGGTGCAGGAGGAGCTTTACCCATGTTCTCTCTGCTCGTGGCAGCATTCCCCAGAAGGGACCTTCTCCCAGCATCACAGATGAAGACATGAGCTAAGCTGGCTTGGGCAGGCACCTGTACCATTACTGAGCACATCCTGAACCAGGCTCGGGTCTCGGCGCTGGGGGGTGAGGACAAAGCCTCTGCCCTGGGGAGAGTTTGCATCCAGCACTCGGCCACAGGGAGTGGGCTCCGTGGCCAGCCCTGGGCCAGGCACCTCACAGGCGTGTTCTCCTGGCCTCTCGCCTCCTTCTGCAGCAGCTCAGAGAAGTTTAAGTCATTTGCTCAAGTTTCAGACTCAGAAAATCTAATGGACAGGCCAAGCCTCAAACCCAGCCTGAGTTTCCCGCTGTGCAATGCTCCCAGCCTCCCGCCTCCTGTCCGTGCTGCCCCAGCCATGGGGGTGGGTGGAGAGTGTCCCCAGTGCTGTGGGGAGGCTTCAAGGATCAGATGGTCGTCCCGCTCAGATGGCGGCTGGAGGCCTGAGTTGCTGAAAGGAAAGGGTGAGGAGTAAAAGAAGGTTATGGAAGCACATAAGTGATCCTGTTTCCCCTGGCACGTAGGTCATCACCTGCGAGAAGAAATCAAAGGTTGAGGGGGGAGGCTGGGGTGGGAGGGCAGAGGAGGGAGAGTCACAGGGCCTCCTGCTCCCCTGCCCCTGCCCCCCCTCACTCAGACACTCTGGTGGCCCTGCCTCCTCCCCCATCTGCCCGGAGACCCTACCTCCAGGTTGGCTACATGAAGCTGGCAGGGAGAGGAGGGAAATGGATGATGGGGAGAAGGGAAGGGACAGTGAGGGCAGGAAAGAAGGGCCATGTTAAGAGCAGAATGCTGAGGAGGAGAGACCCTGTCTTTGTTGATTCCCTTTGACTAGATGCAAGAAAGCCAGGCCCCTGGCTCCCCAGATCACCCTCCTCAGGTTTCCTGGGGACCACCCCAGTCCAACATGGCAGCACTTCCCTTGCAGACAGGAAGTACTATCATGGTAATGGGCACACTAACCAGGAGATAGGTATCTGTGGAAGATGCCCCTAGCCCTCCACACCAGATCTGCCGCCAGGCCTCCAAGGGCAGTCTGCCTCTCTGTGGGTTTGGAGTTCCGCTTCCAGGACTGGGAAGCAGCAGGACTGGGAGTACATGAGAAGTGACAGGGACAAGAGAAAGGACAGGGAGCTGAGGAAAGAAGGGGAGTGAGTAAGAGAGAAGAGTGAGTGTGTAAGGGGTGGTCAGAAAGGGAAGGGAGGTAGAGAGGCTGGAGGGCAGCTGGTCCAGGTCCAGGTCACCAGAAGACAGGGAAATGCACCAAGCAAGTTCTGGGGTGTGGCCTTGAAGGGTGTAAATGAGCCCTTCTACCTATGAAGGGGCAAGGTTAGCAGGCCAGGGTAACAAGAGTGGGAGAAGGTGTCCTGTGGACAGGGACAGAGCCTGGGAAGGTGGGGGTGGAGCAGGGACTAACTGGGGGCAGGGGTCTGGGAGGAGACAGTGTGTGAGGCAGGAAGCAGGCTCTGCTGCCCCGGTTGCGCCTGTCCTAACTTGGCTGTGTGTGTGTGTGTGTGTGTGTGTGTGTGTGTGTGTGTGTGTAAGGTCAAGGTGTCTCCTCCTCACTTGCTTCTGGGATGGGGAAGGGCCCGTGTCCGCATGAGGAACAAGATGACTCACTGTAGGGGACACAGTCGTACTGCACCTCCAGGTACTTGTAGGTCCCAGGACAGGGGTCAGGAAAGGCGTCAGAGCCGGCAACCACCACGCACTGGGTGCGGTTGTTACACCTGCAGAGAAGAGATGAGGAGCTAGGAAAAGACCGGCCTAGAATGGGGCAGGGTGGGGGGGGTTGCGTCCAGGGTCAGGAGAGGAATGGGCACCCCCATAGGAGACGGAATTGTGGCGACCAAGGCCCAGGGCCTATGGGGACATTATCTTCTGTGTCCTGCGTGCTGTCCCTTTCCCAAGAGCCAGGCTTCTGCTCTTGGCCCCATAGGGCAGCAAACTCAGGGTGCCCCTGCCCAATAAACTGCTTCCCCAGCTCCCCGTCCTCACATCCAGCTGCGTGTCACTGATGCCATTCCATCCTTGGCATTTTTCCCAAATGGGCTGGAAAGCCCCTCTCCGTTCACGGAAGAGTGAGACGTGAAGCCACGTGTACGAGGCGGCGTCTCTGCCAACATGCTGTTGACGAGAGGCTCACAGTGCCTGCCCGTGTCCCCCTTGGGCCACGCCTTACATGGGTCTTGCACTCTGGGTGGCGCTGACTTGAGGACCTGCAGTTAGGACAGTGGCCGTCTCTTCACCTCACGCACAAACCATTCTCGGTGCCCCCTGGGGACTCGGAGTCCCCACCAACTTCTGGGAGCCTAACTAATGTACAAAGGGAAGCCGACGTATGAACAGAAAGATGTTTCTCCTGTGCTGGCTGTCTCTCCAATTGAGGTCTCTGGGCCCTACCGCAGGCCAGGTCTCGGTGGGGCAGGACATTAATTCATGAGGGTTTGCTCTTACCCACCCACCTCAACACCCTTAAAACCTGAGCCCTGGCTTCTGAAGGTTAAGCCGTGAGTTGCCTGTGACCCAGCAGCTTTGCTCCCCAAGGAAGGGGGAAGCAGCGGCTCAAACCACTGCTTATATGTCAGTGCTCTCAGCGACATCATTTACACAACTGCCAGAGGTAGGAACAGCCCAGGTGTTGGCTGGCAGAGGATGGCTAAGCACAGCGTGGTCCATCCACAGAGCGGAATATGATCTGACCATTAAAAAGAGAGCTCGGGTGTGCCACGACGTGGACAAACCCGAAGACACCGTGAAACCAAAGGAGTCAGGCTCCGAAAGCCACGTTCCGCGATCCTCAGACGTAATGTCTGGGACGGGTCAGTGTGCAGCGACGGAAAGCGGATCGGTGGCTGCCAGGGGTTGGGGGGGAGGGGAGGGTGGCGGTCACGGCTTCCGGGAATGGCGTTTCCCATTGGGGAGATGCTCTGAAACCAAAGGGAGGTTGTGGGTGCGCCACACTGCGAATGTACTAGCCACCGCTGAACAGCATGCTCGCTTTGAAGTGGTGGACATGTTAGGTGAATTTCACCTCAATATCCAGAAGAGAGAACGGCTGGACGCCACGCGTCCCAGCCTCCCCTGCAGCTGCCAGTACTCAGGACTGAGTTCTGGTGGGGGACGGGGATGAGCCCAAGGTGGCCCGTAGAACGGCTGGGTGCGGGAGCCTCCGAGACAGAGGGAAGCAAGGGCTGAGGATCTTCTCCCCTGCGATTGGTTTAGGCCACTCTGCCTGTTCCGGGGTGTCTCCATCAGAGCAGCAGGGCTGTACCTGAACTAATACAAAGAGCCTCACCTCCAGGCATTAAGATGGCAGAGCGGCGGCCCCTCACTCCCTGGGCCTCTGGAACTACACGGTTCAGCGTTCCCCCTTTTGGAACCGAGAACCCATGAAAGCCAGAACTGGGCCAGCTGACAGCAGCTGGGGGGACGCTGGGGGGACGCTGGGGGGACCATGGAGACCCTGCAGCCCCGAGGCTGGTGCTGAAGGAATGAGGTGGCCAAGGAGAAAGCTGGAGGCAGGAGGTGGGAGGAGAGGGATTCCCAAGGAGGACAGGGCACAGCCTAAGCAAGGCCGGGAAGCTGGATTAGGGCAGCTCATACAGGGGAGTCACACAGGGAAAGGGAGGAGGGGGAGGCCTGCTGGACAGGTGTGTGTTTGAGGGAGCAAAGGTGAGGGGCAGGGAATGAGGTGGCTCCAGCCTGGCCCATGTCATGTGATCACACCTGTCCCCTGCCCAAAACTCTCTGGAGGCTCTCTGTGACCCTGCCCGGTGACTTATTCTAGAATCCTCTGCCAACATTCAAGGAGCTGCAGAGCTGGCTCCAGCCCTCCTTTCCTTCTTCTGTTCTATGCTCTGGGCCCTGGAGGGAACCTTGCCCTCTGTCAGGCGTTTAGCATGAAATGCAGTGAGTGCCTGCTGTGTATCTGGCTGGGGACACAGCAGTGACAGATACAGCACACTGTCCCCATGGGGCTGACAGCCCAGTGAGGAAAGACAAACATGATAAAGACACAAAATATTCCCCAGAACTAAGGTTGGTGTCAGGGCCAGAAGATAAAGCAGGGAAGGGGCCAGGAAGTTGGGGGGGGGGCTGTGATTTCAGAGACAGGCCTCACTGAGAGGATAGTCAGGTAAGGAAATCCATGGGGAAGGAAAGGGACGAGCCCTGCAGGTGTCAGGAACAGCATTCCAGGGAGGGGGAACAGCTGATGCAAAGACCCAGAGGAGGCCTATAGGGGAGATGCATCTAAGGAGCTGGCAGGGTGGCTGGAGCCAAGCGAGTGAAGGGGAGCGTGGAGACAGGGAGCACCAGGAGCAGAGCACAGGGCCCAGGGAAGGGCCTTGTGGGCCTCAGGGGAAAGGCTTCTGCTCTTCTGAGTGAGGGGGGTGCCCCCGCTCAGGTGTTCACAGGCACCCCCTGGCTGCTGTGGTGAGAACAGCCCGTGGCAGGCAAGACGGGGCAGAAGGTAGTATGGAGACCCCAGGGGAAGCCCACGGCAGAAGGGGTGGTTAAATCGGGGGGGGGGGGGGGGGGGGGGGGCGCGCGTATGGTGAAGGAAGAGCTGACCAGCTCCGAGGCGCTGGCAGTGGGTGTGAGGAAGCCTTCTGCAGCTTCGCACGTGAGGTGCCTCTGCCTGGCATCCCCCCCTCCAACTCACACACAGCCTCACACACTCAGGTGCTCACTTTGTCTCCAATGCTCACATCCAATTTCTGTGTTCAGACTGTCACTTCCTCAGGGCAGCCTGCGTGACCTCTGGGCTCTCCCTCAGCTCCCATGATACCTCCACCCTGTCACGCTATTGCTTCTACACTGCTGAGACCTCCACTTCCTCCCCCATGAATCCTGGAACGAGCTTCTGGAGCTACCTAGTGGGTGCAGGCTGCTGGGGAAAAGGGGCTGGGTCTCCCTGGCTGTTTGCACGGGACCTGGCACCTAGCAGGTGCTCAGGAAACGGGCTGGACGCATAGAAGGAAGATGGAGGGGGAACAGGGTGCCCGGGCCAGGGGGCATGTGGAGGACAGGCATTTATCCAGGGTCCCCAGGAGCCCGGTGGGCTCTGGCCACTCACCTCTGCGACATGATCTTGAAGGCATCGGGGAGGTAGCACTGCACATTCTCCATCTGGAAAGGGTCGGCGTCGCAGATCTTGTCATCTGTGCGCCCGTAGTTGGCGTTCTCCACCATGATGACGTCGCTGCCTGGGCACCGCAGCTCGATGGGGTAGCCTTCGCACGCCAGCTCCCGGCGCATCAGTCCAAATGGGAGCCCGGCCCGGCTCAGGCCTATGGGGAGGGAAGACCCCACTAAGGAGATGCACCCCCCCACCCCCCCAGCTTGGCTCTATCCAGGACGCAGGCTGTATGGACCTCAGGTCTTTCATCTATAAGACGGGCTTCTCGGTGTGCCCACCTGTGCGGTAAGGTCTTTGCCCTTGGCTCGGAGGTGCCTCTGAGCACTGGGGGTGTCCTGCCTCCCGAGCATCTGTCTGCCTGGGGGGGCCTTGGGCCAGGCCAGATGGTCTATACACCTGTGATGGGTTGAATTGTGTCCTCCCCACCTCAAATTCATATGCTGAACTTCCAATCCCTCATACCTCAGAGTGGGATCAAATTTGAAATGGGCAATCAAGTTAAAACGAGGCCCTTAAGGTAGGCCCTAATCCAGTATGACCAGTGTCCTTATAAGAAGGGGAGATTTGGACACAGAGACACACACAAAGGGAAGATGGTGTGGAGACACAGGGAGAAGAGGGGCAGCTGCAAGCCTGGAACAGCAACTTCCCTCTTGGCCCTCAGAGGGAGCCGACCCTGCGGACGACTAGATCTTGAACTCCCAGCCCCTAGAACCGCAGGCCATTCAATTCTGTTGTCGAAGTCACCCAGCCTGTGGTCCTTTGTTACAGCGGCCCTAGCAAAGGAGCACGCTGACAATGTGAGTAGGAGCTTTTGGGTATCAGTTGACCTCCAGAAGGCTGGGGACTGAGGTCGCTCCTGTGGATGGTCACCCAGGTCTACACAACTGAGCCCCAGTGAAGACTCTGGACCCCAGGGCTCAGGAGCACGTCCCGGGTTGGCAGTACACTGTGCATGTTATCACGCAGCATCATGGGGGAGGCGGCGCTGCCCACAGCTCCATGGGCAGGGACCCGCAGGAGGCCAGGGCAGGGGACCCTCCTGGACCCTGGCCCATGCACCTCGTTCCTCAGCTGATTTTATCTATAACTGTTCACCATGAGTATAACAGTGTTGAGGAATTCTGGGAGTGCTTCTAGGGAATTATCCAATCTGAGGGTGGTATAAAGGATTCTCGAACTTGCAACTGGTGTCAGAAGTGAGGGTGGTCTTGGGTGCCTCCCTAACTTCACGCCACCCCATGCAAGCGGGAGAGATGGCTTGGGAGGAAAGGCTCTCATATTCTGAAAGAACCCACGGCGCCTGGCCTTGCCACTCCTTGGCCAGGCACATCCGAGGGGCCAGAGCGTCTCAGTGTGGCCGGGGGTTGTTGGGGGGTGGGTGTGTGCCTGGCACCGGCGGCACACGGTGCCTGGTTGGGAATGCAGCTCCTGGCTCCCTGCCCCAGGCCTTTTGAGTCAGCATCTCCAGGGAGAAACCAGGCCCCTCGGACGGACCTATGTGCCCGCCCCCATGATTCTGACACGCACTCAATTTGGACAGCCTCCTCGGCCTCTGTTCCCAGTCTGTGAGATCAGCACTGACAGCCCAGGGCTGGGCCTTGAGGAGTGTGTGTGCTACAGAATGTTCCCGAAGAAAGCACTGAGTATGGTGCCCTGCGTGGCAAAGGGTTAGCATGACGATGGAAGAACAAGCCTGGTGCGGCTGCACGGCCCCACGTCCATTCCCATCCCATGCCCTGTGAGGACCAACAGCCCCAGCTCAGGCCCCAAACGGCTGGGGTTTAAACCGACCGCCTCTGCGGCCCCCATTCCTCCCTTCGGAGCCGCTGCTCCCTCCTCAGCACTGGGGCGGCTGCAGCAGGTACGAGTGCCCCTGACCAGTTACACTTGGACAAAGGCCTGAAGGAGGCAATGAGGTGGCGGGCGTGAAGTACGACTATCGTTAAGATCATCAAGGGGCGTCTGGGTGGCTCGGGCAGCTAAGCGTTTGCCTTGGGTTCTGGTCATGATCTCAGGGTCCTGGAGTCGAGTCCCGCATTGGGCTCCACGTTCAATGGGGAGTCTGCTTGAGATTCTCTCCCCTCCCGCTCATGTTCTCTTTCTCAAATAAATAAATAACATCTTTAAAAAAATACTTATTGAGGCAGCCAGTCTCTACAGGACAGAGTGGGCTCCGCATTGGCCACACCCACCAGATCAGCCACCTTTCCAGGCACTGGTTCCCAGCCAGGCCTCACAGGGTGGAGTGGGGACACGCAGGGGGACTTACAGGCTCTGAGGCGTGGACTGTGGCTCGTGGGTACAGAGAAGGAGTGGTGCCCTGGGCAGCAGTGCCAAGCAGACCCCTTTCGGAGATCTGCTCCCTCCACCATCAGGTGGGGGGCCCCAGGAGGACGCTAGCCAGGCCCCCGGGGTTTTCTGGGGTGAGTTGAGTCTCACTAGGGGGAAAGTATTACATGTGTTCCTCTAGCACCATCTGCTTCCACAGCTAATTTTAGTCCTTCCCGGGCCTGGGAGGGAGGCTGGGGGTGGAGGGCTGGCTCAGATGGGTCTGGGGGTGGAAGTGGCCCCTCCCGGCCCAGCTAGGGCGGTGGGGCAGGACCTGGATGGGCAGGTAATGTGGGCACTGGGAGAGCAGAGGGTGCCAGCTGGCCAGAGCAGTGCCAAGGCCCTGGTGCCTGGCTGAACAACGCCCCTTCTGCCTCCGTGGCTTTTGGGAGCATCGGGCTACGTGAAGGGACACTGGGGAGCAAAGTCCACCAACAGTGTGCTCTTGAGACAGAGCTGGGGGGTGCTGGCTGGGGGCATGCCCAGGGCTAGGGGCAAGGCCAGCAGGCCCCTTCTTCCTGCCTCTCCTTTTGCCCTGCCCTGGCCCCCGCCTGGGCCTGCCACGGGGACCATAATTGAGTAATTGGTGGCGGTGGGCGGGCAAGCTGGGGGCACTAATTGTTGCATGTGTAGGATCGTGGGGCCGGCATAGGGCCGAGCCGGGTAATTAGTTGTTTTTTAAATAAACGTCGGCGGGCATGCTTTAATTAAGCCTTCTTCCCAGTGAGAGCCTCAGAGATGTAATCACAGAGAGAGACACGCACAGAAGACAGAGGAGTCTCGGCTCACCGGGAAGGCGAGTCCTGGTCCCAGGCGGCCACAGCCCTGCATCCCAGGCTCCAGGACCCCTGGCAAGACGGGGCCTGCTGCCCCAGGTGTTGGGGGTAAGGGGGCAGTGCAGGGACCCCTCAGTGGTGCTGGGGAGTGCGATGACCAAGTTTTCTTCCGGCTCGGTTCCGCTGCGGTCCGGGGCGAGCTGGGGACCGTGGTTCTTCCCCAAGTGGATGGGAGGTGTTTGAGCATTCTCTCCGGCCTCCCAGCTGCTGTTTGCGCAAGGCTCCCGCCAGCCCCAGCGGCACCTACCTTGGGTGGCCGAAGTGACAAGGACGCCGGTGATGCAGAGGCTCCAGAGCACTGCGGCCAGACGGGCCATGGTGGCAGCCGGGCGCGTGTTCGGGGTGCTCAGTGTCCTGTGCCGGGGGCCTTGCCCCGCATCAGCAGGTGGGCACCACGGCCTGGCCCACCAGCCTGGGGGAGAACAGGGAGAGTAAGGCCGGGGCAGGCTCCCAGCAGGCCCAGGAGGAGGGGTATTTGGGCCGGTCCCCTCTCCTCCTGCTGGTGGCTGAGGGCTGCCACCCCATGGTCCCTGACAGGGGCCACTCAAGGTACCTCCCCCAAGCCAGCTGTGGGGGCTGAAGCTGCACCCCTCCAGGCCCTCTGTCTCACACTAACTCCCACCCCTGGCCAGCAGACAGACCCACCCACTGGGCGCGCTGGACCAAAGAGGACCTCCTGGAAGCTCCTCCCGTGGTCTCACAGCATCCCCCCAACCCCGAAATTCCACCCCCCCACAGCAGGGCCAGCTCACCAGGATGTCATGGCTGTGAAGGGCCCACCCGCACCCAGGCAGGCCTCAGACCCTCTAGCATGGGAGATAAAGGCCTTCTGGAAGCTTCTTCTCCATCCCCAAATCCCAACCCTGCCCACTTGTCTCCCTGACCTGGCTTCCTCACCCAGCACTGCGGGGGTGCTAGGGCGGGGGTGCCCAGGCAGCCTGGCCTTGAATGGCAGCCTCCCCGACGCCCGCCCCCAGCCCTTGCTTCCTGTCTCTCCAGCTCTGGTAGCTAATTAGAATCCAGCTGGCTGGCGCCACAGATCAGGGACCAGGGACAACTGAGTCCCCTCTTTCCCCTCTGGGGGACCCTTGAGGTAAGCTGGAGACAGGCAGGCGCGGATAAGGGAGCGGTGTGCGGTCCCCTAGGGGGCCGGAGTGGGGCTGGCGTTGTGTGCCCTCCCCTGCAGTCCTCCCACACATCTGTCTGTCCCTGGGCACTGCAACTCCTCAGGCACAGGGCTCCGTTCTGACCCATTTCCTCCATTCTTGGCCACTCCTCCCTTCTCCCTTTTAGTCTCTCCTGGATGTGCTCAGAGTTGCAAACCCAGATCTCTGCCCTCAGCCCTTTGCTTTATCTGCAACGCGGTTCTCAGGGTGGCCCTGGCCCAAAGGCACCAGCCTGGTCATGAACTTCTACAAACATTCTCTGGGGAGGGCTGGCACCCATGTTTTAACCAGCCCTCCAGCGTGTGAACACCCACTTGCTCTGTCTTCTCCAGCTGCCAGCCCAGTCTGTCCCATAGTTTTAATGCCATTGACCAATAAATACCTTCCACATCTCTTATTTTCTGTTTGGAATCTCTCAACAGAGCCCCAGTCACTGTTTTTCCCTACCAGATGAAAGCCCCTCCACCAGCACCATCAGCTCCCTGATCCCGTTTCTGCTCAGGCCACTCCTGCTTCCTGCTATTCCTTGACCACACCAACCCCTGCCCCAAGGCCTTTGTACTTGCCAGTTTCTCCATATGTATCTTCTGCCCAACAGTCATCCATAAGGCTGATGCCCCTGGCCTCCTTTACACCTTTGTTCAAATATAACTATTCAGGGGTACCTGCGTGGCTCACTCCGCTCAGGTCATGATCCCAGCGTCTGGGATCAAGCCCCCTGATGGGCTCCCAGCTCAGCACGGAGTTGGCTTCTCCCTCTCCCTCACCCCTGCACATGCCTTCGCTACCTCTCTCTCTCCATCACTCTCTCTCAAATAAATAAAATATTTTTTAAAAAAGTAACTATTTGTTTCTTGCTTGGGACGGACCCTGACAGACAGGAATCACTGGACTGCTTTGCTCACAGCTAGCCTCAGCTTCTAGAATAGGCCTGGCACGCAGCAATGTGTTCGTTCAATCTCAGACCCCAAACCTAGGAATCCATCCCGATTCCTTACCCTTCCCCACCTCTCCCCTTCGTAAGCTCCACCAGCAAGTCCTGATGGCTCTGCCTCCAGAGCACCTCGCCAACCTGCCCACTTGTGGCCCCCGTGCCCCCATCTAGGACCGAACCACCACCCCACCACACCATGCTTGTCTCGGCCTCCCTCCCTCCACGCCTGCCCTCCACTCAGCTTGGAGGGGTCACTGAATGACGCAGATCCGAGTGTTAACCTTCGCCTCGGCTCTCCCCTGGGGTCTGCATTCCTTACCAGGGCTGCAAGGCCACCGGTGACCTGACACCACCCTGCTCTGTAACTGGCCGGCCCCCTCCAGTTCCTAGGAGGCTCTAGCTTCCTCCCCCTCTCCTTGCCGCCCCCTGACCCCTGGCTTTCCTGGGCTGCTCTCTCTGGCTGGAATGCTCTCCCAGGATCCTCGTACACCTGCTATGGCTTCCCACTGGTCAGCACTCAACTCCAAGGAGAGCAACCTACCCCGACCTCCCCAAACGTCCCTGCTGTTCCCACCTACCATCCTGATTTACAGCTTTCAGCCACACCTGAAGTTACCTTTAGGATATCAGCAGGTCTGGGGTCAACCTTCCCTACTAGACCATAAGCTCCTGGAGGGCAGGGACTTGGACAGGTTCTCAAGAAATAGAGGTGGGAGGAGCACGCTCCCGCGCAGGACACCCCCTCCCAGGCCTCAGACTCGGCTTGCTGTATGGCAAGGGATCTGACAGTGTGGCCAGATGTCATGCCTGCGCCCTCCCCACCCCCAGCCTTCAGGAAGCACCCCCTCCTCCTGCCTCAGCCCACAACCCCGACCACGCATGGCCTGCGGCACTGTGGACTCCGGCTCCTTTTATATTATTTCACAGTCTTATGTTGTGGGGGGCTGGGGCTTCCTCATTGCCCCTTCCCCACCTCAGCTCCCACCCACAGTCAGGCTCAGGAGGGGTGCTGACTCTCCACGAACAGACAATCCCCTCCCGGGCTCTCCCCAGGGCTCTCCAACTAGTTAGCGGCTGGTTAATGCTGGCAAGGCTGCCGGATGCCAGGCTCTGGGGGCAGCCAAGCCACAGGGGTCTGGATCCAATTCTGCCATTCACAAGTGGTGTGAACTTGAGCTGGTCCTTCCCCCGCTGCCCAACCTCAGTTCCCTCTGTGCCTCAAACCAGCAGGGTTCTGGTTAAGGACAGCAGTCTGCACAAGCGACAGGCCAGCCTGGAACCCATCCGAGGGCGCTGTCCGCAGTGTGGTACAAGTCAGGGCCCAGGCAGCACGAGTCTGAGGGCAGCAGCTCTTCTCCCTCCTCCGGGCTGCACCCAGACCCAGGTGGAGTCCCCAGGCCTCTTCGCCACCCCCACTCCTTCCCAGGGGTCTAACTGGCCTCCTGGCTGTAGACATCATCTATCCTGTGATGACTGCCACACTGCAGGGCTAGCCCCGCTTCTCTTCTCACTCTCTACCGTCTACACCTCCCTCAGGTCTCCAAATCACCTTCGGCCTGACCAGACTAAAACAAAGTCCCTACCCATGTTAGTCCACGGGCCCAGCATCCCCCCAGGTCCTTGGGCTGCAGCCCCAGGAGTTAAAGTTCCTGGCTCCTCTCTCCCTCTCCCCGACTTCCAGTTTGGGAGTAAGTCCTGGGTCTACACCTCTGGGACACGCTGGTGTCTGTCTGTCCCCAGCAGCTGCCCTCCCGACAGCCCTGACCTCCTCCCAGCAGCACCCCACCCTTCTTGCTCCTGCACTCCGGGCTTCCCACTGGCAGCTAGAGAGGCCTTTAAAAAATCATGGTATAATAGATACATAACATAAAATGTGTCATTTTAACCGTTTTTGTGTATTATCCAGTGGCATTAACTGCCTTCTCTGTGCTGGGCTGCCCCAACGACCGTCTATTTCCGAAACTTTGTTATCGCCCCAGACAGAGACTCTGGCTTCGGGAGCAGCCCCTCCTGTTCCCTTGCCCCCACCCCTGGCAACAACCGGTCTCCTCTAGGGACCTCATCTGCATGGAGTCAGCCAGTGCTTATCCCTCCATGGCTGGCTTCCTTCACTCAAGGCCCATCTGCACTGTCACCTGGGGCGGCACACCATCCCTCTTCAGGGCCAAGTAATATTCCCCCCACGAGGACGGCTGGCATCTTGTTCAGCCATTCATTGTTTGGGGACCCTTAGCTGTTTCCCGGGGCGGGGGGGGGGCGTGCTTTTAAAGACCTCTCGACACTCCGTCCCATCTACGGCCCTGCCATGGCTCCAGCTCCCCCATCTGTGAGGCCACGCAGCATCCCAGCCTATGTCCCTGTCTCTGTGGCCCTTAGATCTCAGCTCAGATGTGCCCTCCTCAGAGATGCAGGGGCCCTGCCCCCAGACTGTTTCAGCCTCCACTGTGGTCAGTGCCTGCCTGTCCAGCCCCCAACCGATCCTGGAACCTCCTCTTGGTAAAATGGGGGTACCACACAGGGCAGCTGCATGACAAGATGAACTCACTCATGTGAGACACGCAGGGCCGTGGCTGGCATGTAGTGATGGCAAAGTGTCCCCCGCAGCAGCTGTCACTACCATCGCCACTGATCACGTCACTGCCTTGTGACTCGACTTGTCCCCTTAGGGATTTCCTTTGCACCCCCAGGCCCCCAGAAAAATGGACGCTTCCAAGCCCATCTCCGGGCACCTAGATACATAGGTGTCTTCAGACAAATCTTTACTGAATGAACGTAAGGTGACAGTGGTGGGAGCAGCTGGAGACAGGTGTTTGTGACCTCCGGGCCAAGTCTGACCCACACAGCCCAGGCACCATCATTTCAGGGGTACAGAGAGTGTTCCCCTCGGGCTACCCACTGCTCCCTGAAGGCCCATCCCCAGACCAGCTCCCCCCAGAAAGCCCCAGGCGCCCCCAGAACCTGACCCCATCTTGGGGCTGGAGTACGAGGAGCCAGGCAGGACCTCTGTCCCCTCCTCTCTCCTCCAGGCTTGCCCCCTGGTGCCCACCTAAGTTGGGGGGGCAAGATCTGATGTGGGCAGGTGGGAGCCATACCCTGGGAGGCCTGAGCCTGACCATCCCTGAGGCCTTGGGAGAGGGTGTTATGGATTGAACTGCCCCTCCCCCTAAAGATATGTCGGAGTCCTATTCTCCAGCACCTCAGAATGGGACCTTATTTGGTCTTTAAAAAGGTAATCAAGTTAAAATGAGGCCATTAGGGTGACCCCCTAGTCCAGTATGACTGGTGTCTTTATAAAGGAGATATTTAGACACA